CCAACCCCACGTCCTTCATCCGCACCAACCCAATCCACAGACAAATAAGAAGCCCGACAAGGCAAAGTAAGCGACACAACCAACAGCAATTTGTGGCAGTCACAATCTATGGCAAACAAAGGTGACGGGATGTTAGATAATAGATATGGCATGATAGCAACAAAAAAATAATGGATGAGTAAGACAGATAGCGAGTAAAAGAGAGAGTGAAAAATGCTCATAATGAAAAGTGAGGGACAGCGTTAGAAGCAGAAAAAAACTTCAATGTGGTATAGTGCTTGCTGAAACTTTGCATTCATTCTCAGTACCCAAGCCAACTTGTCCTTTGTTTTCATTTTCAGAAGTGTTTGCAGGACAGGCCAGGACTCTAGTCCTGGCCCTCCAGGTTGCAGGCCAACTTTATGAAGGCCTGATATCAAAGCTTTTCCTTGCTGTTTTGAGATGCTGCTGTTGCTCCTGCTCCACAGTGGCCCACTTGCAGTATTTGCAACGGCTCACTCCCATTTTTGTGACTGGCCAATTGTGCTTCTGCAATTATGCGGCCCAGCTTTTTTCAGGACACCCGTTAAAATTGGAACGATACAGAGAAGATTAGCATGGCCCCTGCGCAAGGATGACACACATAAATCGAGAAATGGTCCAAATTTTTCTTGATTAAAAAAAAAAAAAAATTGCCCGCTCCTGCTTTCACTCTGGACCAGTATTGCAGCACCGTCCAAGACTCAGTTCTCGAACCTCTGGAGTACCGGCTGACTTTGGGAAAGCTGTTTCGCTATGCTACTGCACGTTCCTGCTTCACAATTATCAGATCCTGCTTCACAGTTATCAGATCCTGCTCCACAATTGTTACAGCTCCTGCTTTTGTGATGGCCCACCCCCACTTTCGCACTTGCTCAGTCCCACTTTTGCAATCACCTGCTTTGGATTTCGCAATTTCCCAATGCTGTTTTAGCCATTCCCCACTGATGCTTTAGAAATTACCCACTCCCTGCTTCTTCTCCTGTGAACATAGTTCATGCCCCATTGCTCATAGCTGCTCTTTTACGGGATGCAAATGCAATGAGCCCACAATTCACACGACGACTCGCGGCACACAAAAGTCGCACTTCATCACATGTGCAATCAGACTCATTCTCAAACACACTCTTCATGCATGTAAACAGCAACGCATCATACTGGCGACATGCACCCAAACAAAACTCTGAGATATGGCTTCAAGATACAAGTTCACTCTCAATTAGCTATGGCGACTTCAGCGCCCACACAACTCACTGTTTACACACACTGGATCACCCTGGATATCCCACACGCATCACTCTAACACTCGAACACACACACACACACTTCCTACTAACTACAGCTATGGCAGCTATGGCTGCCACTAACCTATCGCTATACTAACTCCCTCTCTCTTGCCCACTGCGTCCTCCGGGCTCATCTGCAGACCTCCTTGCACAAGTCGCTGTGGAAGCGCTTCCGCATGGCTCATGCAGGAATGAATGAATGGCTGGGCGCTGCCTCTTGATTTATACTTCAGAAACTCGTTGGTCTTCCCTTTGCCCTCGGCCCTTGGTGCTCACAGTCCCCCTGTGGTACTTGCTGGACCGGACTGGGACTGACTGGACCTTTCGCTGACTGACTGTGGACTCACCGCTATCCTACCGACGTTGTACTGCTCTTGCACTGTGGTTTAGTCCACCACTTGCCTCGCCACTTGACCACTTGCCCACTGGCCTACCTTCTAGAAGGTCTACAGCTAAGCTTCCGGAACTCACTAAGACTCCTAAGCTGTAGACCTACAGATCGAACCCCTGCTGCCTATGGACCTACGACAGGCCTACCTACTGTCTATGAATACACAGGTCACAGGTTCAATTCTCGGGGTCTACACGGGTACTGTACATGGGTAGGGTGAGGTCTAGGGATCGAACCCTGGGTACTGCATCCGCTACTGCTAA